ATAAAGTTTAATTTTATACATCGCATGAAAGTCACACACCTTCCCTAAATGCCTCGGAAAAACTCACGGAGGCCTTCCTGCCAAGACCCAGGCTGAGCCCAGCGGTTTCCCTGCTGGGAGGGGTATCTGGGAGGGATGGACTGGGCAAAGAGGGACTCCGTGTCCGGCTGCTGGTGATGGAGAAGCGTCTCCCCATTCGGAGGGAACCAGACGTTCAGGGCTAGCGGAGATCAAGGCAGAATGCAAGAATACCCCCAAACAAAAACGGGGGCTGGCAGCATCTGTGGGGAGAAAGAGCTATGCTGGGCGAGGGGAAAGGGAGGAGGGGGCCAAAGGGGGCTCATGCAGGGGGCAGGGGGAGCACTGCAAGCTACAGAAATACACCTGGGAGAATTGTCAAAGAGGTGAAGTTCCGGACATGGGGGGAGGGGTGGGGGGAATCCTTTGGCTAGGATTGACTAGCATAACATTACCTGAAGGACTGCGGGGGGGGGGGGGATTCCCCTGCTCCGTTGAAGATTTACAAACAGAACTAATCTCAAGCTCCTAGTCCCCACCTTTCCTTAAGCCCCAAATATGCTGCTCCCTGTTGCCTTGAAGGGGAATTCCTCCTGGGCAATGGCAGGGGCGGGGGTTGTGTTGGAGACTGGCAGGCTGGCCTTGCTGGCACTCAACAAGCTCCTTCCCTCCTGCCACCTTGCATTTTCTGTGGCTTCCCATCTGCTTGGGAATCACCTCCACAAAAGATTTGGCCCTTTGGGGCTGAGGACAAGTGAGAGAGAGAAATGCTGCATTTCAAGCAGCAGCCGCAGAGGGAGGGGAGTTAAGGAGGCATCACGCCCAGGCTGCTTGTGCTGGAGGCCGCAGGCTGATGGAAGGGGGAGGCAGCTCCTGGCCCTGTCGCACTGGCTATCCAGGGAATTCAGAGAGGATCTCTTGGCCACCCCCCCCCCCCGGGGCCCTGGAGACAGCACCTCCCAGCCGTGATGGGCTTGCTGGTTTTTCACAAAGCCCAATTCATCTGGTGGTTTCTGCAGGGCTTGGAGGCCCCAAGCTCTGCCACGTGGGCCCCGCAGGCACCAGGAACAAGCGGCTTTTGTATGGGAGCCGCCCCCCCCCCCATCTGCCTGGGATGTGGAGATGCTCCGTCCAGCCTTTGCCCTGTCGTGGTGGCAGGTCTTTGGGAGCAGCAGCCGCTTGCCAAGGTTGGCTCCTCCCAGCTGCAGCCAACGAGCACCCCAGAGTCCCTAGAGTGTAGCAATCCAGCCCCAAGGGTACACCAGGCCAAGGAAGGGGAGCCTCTTTGCTGCTTGTGGAGAAAGCTCAGTGCAAGACACACCCCCCCCCCTTCCTCCAGTGGCTTGCTCATGTTAGGAAAAGCCTGGCTGCCACGTGGGGGGAGGGGCGGGGGAGGCACCTGCAGGGTGCAGAAAGCAGGAGCCACTCTCTCCAAGGAGCCCCCATCTTTCTCCCATTCAGCATCCAGAAGCCCCCCCCCGAATGAAGTTCCTGATCGTGACACGCAAAGGAAAAAACGGGGAAGAAAACTTCCATTCAGACTTTTAGAGTACAATAGATAACGACCCCCCCCCATGTTGCCTGCCTGCCTCCCCCCCCCTCCGGGCAGCCGAGGCAGAGGAAGGGGCGGCTCTGCTGCTCTCCTAATGTGGGCCACCAGAGGAAGATCAGAGCTTTTGCTGGGATCCACCACGTTCATTTCAGAAGCATTTGCAAAGAACCGGATGACCCGGGAGGACTAGGGGCAACCAGATCAGGAGCGTGAGCTATGGCCAGAGGTGTGGTGGGCACTCAGTGGATCACTCAGGAAATGCCCAAGCATTGTCTGGAACCAACCCAGATCCTGAGATACTTCATTCTGACAAATCCCTTCACTCTCAGAGTAATTGGCCTTCTCTGAAGCGGGAGGTGATCTTTCTGGGGCCTCCAGAGCAAGACCTCATGCCAAGGGATCTCGGAGGCAAAGAGAGGGTTCAAAGGGGATCTACCTACATGGGTCTAGCCTGGGATCCCCCACAGCCCCCCACCTCCATGGCCATAGACCATCACCAAGAGCCCCCAATCCCCACCCGATGACCATGTCCAGGAGCTCAGGACCAACCGGATCGCCAGCTGGTCCTCCAGCCCAAGGAGGGCATACGGGGCGGCCTTCCCTAGAGAAGCTCCTTCCGGCCAGCCGCCTCCCTGCTGGTGCTAAGAAGATGACAGGACGTGTCCAGAGGGTTGCCAGGGCTGGCCAAGCTCTGCTTATTCTGCGAACATTCATGGGCCACTCTTGAAACTCTGCTAACTCTTGGCTTCCATTTTCTGTATTTATTTGTTGAATTTATTTGCTGCTTGTGTTGCCATGGGGCTGCTTTAGGCCACTTACAACAATAAAAAGGAAGGAAAGAAGAAGACTGTAAACAAAGCAGAAGCAAAATAATACAACAATGAAATGAAGAAGAAAAAAAGTGGGAATGCATCAATATGATAACAAAAAAAATGGACAGGTGGAGAGCAGAGAGCGAGCACGGGGGTGGGGGAGGTGGAGTCAGCCATCAATCCAGCAGCTCCCTCCAGAGGGGAAAATTCCCCCTTGGGGTCACCAGGCCAGCCGCAGGGGGGGCATGTCTTAGCCCGGAGGGTGGGAGGTCACAAAGGGCGGGTGGGTACTGCCGCAGAGAAGGCTCTTCGGGACCTGTTTGACCGATGGGATCCCTAGGAGAGCCCCTCTGCTGGCACAAGCAGGACAGGCACAGAGCGCATTGCAGCAGTCCGGATGAGAGATGACCAGGGCTTGAGTAACTGAGTACAGGGAGTCATCATCCAGGAAAGGCTGCAGCTGGTGCACAAACTTTGTAATTTTATTAAAAGTTTAAGAAGGAAAATAAAAAAACTAATATAAACTAATATAAAATGAGGAAAGAACAAGAAACCAGAGAGAAAGCTAAGCATGCAAGAAAGGGGGGAGAAAGTAAAAGAAAAATAGAAAAAAGGATACAAAGAAATGGCTTTCAGTTTTCTTTACAGCAGTTAATGTACAATTTTAAATTTACTTGTTATTCTAAATGCCACTCATCCTCTTAGCTCTGCCTAGAGCAGGGGTAGGCCACCTTGGCTCTTTTATGACTCATGGACTTCAACTCCCAGAATTCCTGAGTCAGCATGGCTGGTTCAGGAATTCTGGATATTGAAGTCCACGAGTCATAAAAGAGCCAAGGTTGCCTAGGCCTGGCCTAGAGCAAGAATCAGAATTCAGAGGGATCCGGGTGTGGGGTCACTCCCAATTTACTACAACCCTGGAAACGTGCACATCACAAGACGCATTCTCACAATTAACCCGTTTTCCGGGGTTTCACAATCCAACAGAGCACAAAGGAGAAGCTAGGATTTGCGCTGAGTGAATCCAATCTAAGGGAGACTAACATTGGTCAGTCTTAGCACGGCCGCTGAGCGCAGATGCCAGGTCTTTTCCTGCTTAGGCATCGTGTGTGAACTCAGCCAGTGTGCAATATTGCCAGGCGTTGGCAAGCAGCTTGTTACACCAAAGAACAGAAGAGCAAAAACACAAAACTAGGGCGCACCGATATGCAACCCAGAGTTGTAGCCTGGCTAGGAAGTGACCTTTCTCAAAGCAGCTGGAATCCCTCACACCGGTCAGTCAGGGGTGTCTTCCCTACACAGCTGGAAAGAGAGAAGGCATTCCCTGGGGGGGAGGCAATCCTGGCCTCCCCCAGGCCTCCCCCTTCAGCCACACCACCCTGACTCACCAGCTCAGGAAAGTACTTTACCATCAAGCTAGGGGTCGGCATGTGGGAACAGCACATGGCATGGGAGGGCAGCACCACCACCACCACCGCTGCTGCCCCCGTCCCTATCAGAAGTCAACCAGAGCGAAGGGGGCACGGACAGAGCTGGGACCCCTAAGCTGCAGTTCCCCCACCTCACTTTCCTCCCCCCTCCTCCCCCCTCCTGCCACACAGAGCAGCTCAATCCTCCCGGGGCCTGCAGGCCCACGGGGGGGGGGGAGGGCAAGGGTGGGGTGGGGGGTGTTAAACAGTCCCCCATTGGCCAAGACCCCCTTGGGGGCCCCACCGAGACAGGGCAGGGAAGCTGCTTGCGGACAATGCCAGCATGCCCAGCCGGTTCATTTGGCCCAGGGCAGGGCAATAGCCTCTCGCCGCCCCTGCAGTGAGCCAGGGGGAGAAGCCTACCACCCACGATTCTCCCACCACCCACGATTCTCCCTCCCTCTCTCCTGCGCTCTTTCTCACCCCCCCACCCCTACTCCGGCCTGAGCCAAGAAGTGTCGGCTGCTGCGAGGGGGGCAGGGAGGGGAGGGGATGAATCCCACCTGCTCTGCTGAAAGACCACCAAGCTCACTTAATTTCAGGACGAGGCTCTTAGTCAGACCAAAACGCTTGTGCCTCTTTTATTTCAGAAAGGGCCTGGAAAGGGCAGGCGTCCCCTTTTCCTCCTCGGGGGGAGACTTCCATGGCCCCCACAGGCCCATCTATCCCCCCCACAGGCCGTGGAGCAATGCAATATTAAAATGCAGCATAACGTATAAACGGGGTCACATAACTGGGGGCCAAATGAATATAAGATGTTTTTGTGGGCTTCTGAGGGTGCACAGTCTCTTTCTGGGGGGAGGGGGGAGTCTTCCACAGAGGGAGGGGCACAGCCCAAAAGCTAAGGAAAATCCCCTATGCCCTTTCGTGGATGTGCAGGGGGGGGGTTGCCCCGAGAAAGTGCTGTAGTGAGAAGAGAACAGCCCACCTCACCTCTTGGGTCTGCAGTAGGAAAGCCTTACTAGGACAGAGACCTGCCCAGGATGGTGCCGCTGGGTCCTGGTGCCCGGCCACCTTCCTGCTTTGCCTCCTGGGCAGGAGGGCAGGGCCGGCCCCGGGACAAAGAGGAGGAGGAGGACACCTCTTGCCCTCCCTTCCCTCCCAGTGGCCAGGGGCATCTGGTCTCCGATCAATGAAAAAGGCCAGTGATTCAGGCAGGTTTGTCACATGGTTTAATGTTCATCGAAAGAGAGGACCTCCGATCACAGCCCCTCCCGCTTGCTAGTTAGGGGTGATGCTCCCTTGTCCTCTTTCGCTGGCAGCCACAGGCCTGGGCCCTCACGAGGCCCCCCACCCCTGGTGACAAGACGAGGGGTGCCAGATCTCGGCCAGGTCTTCCCGACACAACACCCTCGGGAGGGGCCGCGGCCAGGGATTGACGGCCACGAGTCACGCAGACTCCATGGGTTAGGATTGGGGGGCAGGCGTCCTGCTCAGCCTGACCTGCCGGGGGGAGGAGTTTAAGTGCCAGGAGAAAAATGACCGTCACGGTCAAGATGGAGTGATCCATGGTGGCTCCCGGGCTGTAGGTGGGTCTTACTGCTGGAGCAGGTGGAAGGTGGACTCCTCCCTCCTGCCCTGTGATTTCCCTCCCACCCATCAGCACCGGGAGCCTAGTGCAAAGAACTCAGCCTGGAGCCTGATCAGCAGCCCCTGACTAAGGCCAGGCTGCCCCCCCCCTTGCAAGAGAGACTCCGTGCCCTGGCAGAACCCCCAGGGGGGTTGAGCCCGCAGACACAGCTCCTCCAGTAGCAGAGGGACACGGCAGCGCTTGGTCCGTGGCAGCCTTGGAAAGGAGTGTGCAAAGACAGGTGTGGACAACTGGCCCCTGGCTGTGGCGATTAACACCCCCCCCCCGATCAACAAAGGCCAGCGACCTCCCAGCAAGGGTGAGCCCCAGGCTGTCCAGGACTGGGCCGGCAGCCTTTCTCAAGGAGGGGACGGCCAGCTCCGAAGGGAAGGAGGTGACCGAACTCTCCCAAGGCAGGCCAGGCAAAGAAGGGAATACTTGAAATAAATCGTCTGGGTCCCTCTGAAAGACACGGGGTCACCCTGCCTACCAGACACACCATGCAAGGGGTTAAATTACGTCCCAATGTTTAAATTAATCACAGGCCTAAAATACAGACTTTAAAATCAACTAACCGAGCGGCTGCCGGAGAATTGTGCAGCATAACCTTTAGCGGGAGCGTCCCTCGCCGGTTCGGCTCCAGCAGGGCCCCTCCTCCCCCCTCAGTAGATGGAGAGGCGGTCGGAAATGGCCGCGGGCATGTGGGTCATGACCTGCATGCGCAGCCACCAGTAGTAGTCCATGGGGTGGTAGCGGGTGTAGGGCGTGGTGGAGGTGAGGGCGTGGCCAATGCTCTCCACGACCGGCGAGGTGTCGGAGGAGCCGCTGCTGCAGTACGACTCCATCTTGGCAATCTGCTCGTCGAAGTACTTCCGCCCATAGTCGCGGCGCACGATCTCCGGCAGCTCGTCCCACATCTTGTCGGCGATGGACTGGATGCGCTCAGGGCTGTAGAGGCTGGTGCCAGCGATGAAGTTGCCCGGCTCCACGATGCAGACCTTCACGTCGTGCGGACGCATCTCGTACCGCAGGCAGTCGGAGAAGGCCTCCACCCCAAACTTGGTGATGCAGTAAGGGGAGCGGGCGGGGTTGGCCATCCGGCCCATCATGCTGCTGATGTTGACCACGCGGCCTGCCGGGGGGAGGGGCAGAGGCGCCGTGAAACGAGCAGCCCCCCACGGGGACCCCACAATTGCGAGCTGCCTCTGGATGAGGCCACCCAGCCTGGCTCGGAGGATGCGGCCCTGCCGGGGCGGAGTAACCCCCCCGCCAGCCCTTCTTCCGCGACCGTCACCCCTGCCATTGGCTGCGATGGGGCTGTGTCCACCTGTTCCAGGGAGGGGGTGGGGGACGGGCCCCCCGCTTACCTTTGGCTCTCCGTATCAGGGGCAGGAAGGCCTTGGTGGTCCGGATGGTGCCCCAGAGATTCACTTCAGCCACTTCTTTGTAGGTGTCCATGCTGGTGAATTCTACCTCCCCAAAGGTGGAAATCCCAGCGTTGTTGACCAGTCCCCAGAGCCCTGGAGAGGAGGCAAACGAAGGGGTCATCTTAGCCATCTCTGCCAGTACTTCTATCTGGGAAGAGGATTCCTATTCTAGGAAGGCCAAAGGTCGGTAACCCTAACCTTAGCTGAAAACTCCAGAGGCCCAACAAATGACAGCTGCTCTCTCTCTCCCCCCATCTTTTTCTGAAAAGAAGCCACTTCTGCCCACTCTTCAATCTTTTATTTTTAGGGACGGCTCTTCCAGTTCTCCAGAACAGTTGTTGGAGCCTGGGGTGACATGGATTATCTGGGTCCCCTGGTCCAGATCCAGGGGCTCCTATGGAGGAGGAGGAGGAGATGTGAGGAAGCATCAGGCTGCTGGTTCCTCCAAAGGATTCAGTGATCCCAAACACAGCAGCAGGCGGAGACTGGGGCCACCCCCAGCAGCTCTTCTGGGGCTCCCTCCCAGACCACGGTCTTGCCATGCCCGGGACAACTTCCAGGGCTAGCAGAACCTGCAACTGGTGCAAAACACAGCCGCTTGCACGCTGATTGGGCAGGAAAAACTGGTTTAGCCGGATGACGCCTACAGCCACCGCACTTCCTGCTCGCAAAAGGTTTCTGGCATTGCAAGGAAACTCCCAGGACAGACTCCTCCAAGCAGAATGGCCTCTTCCGTAAAGCTGGCTCAGGAGGGGACCCCGGGGTTATTCTGGCCTCGGAGGCGAGGGAGGCAGGGGCCGGAAGCCATCCTGCCCTCTGGAATACACTTCCCTGATCATCAGTGTTGGGGGGGAGGGGGGTGTCTCGTCCTGCCTGGGTCCCCGATGACGAGACTGTTGTCTGGCCACACCCCCACCAGCCCTGGGAGGGCAAGCTGCTGCATGAGAACAGGGAGCGCACCCCATACTGGCTGACACTGCTGAGGGACGCCCCAGGGACACCTGGAGCTAGAGACTGCCTCCTCTAGCAATCCCAAAGACCCTCTGAGAATCCTCCACTGCTCCCCCAGGAGAACAAGGGGAGGGGGAGGGAGTCCAGATTGCAGGGGATGTTGGCCAAAGCTGCCATGACAGGAAAACATTCTGGGCTCCCGATCCAAAACATTTGGATCATGAGGACCTGTCTGGGTTCAAGGCCACCCCTATTTTCCATTTGGTGCACCCGTCAGTTGAGAGAAAAGCCTATTTCCAACCCTCTGCCACAAGGCTTGTTGCTTCTTTTCCACACAAGGGTTGTGAGTCAGGAGCAGCAGCTGCACCGGCTACGTGTCTCGCTCTGGCCCTGAGTGTGTCGGGCTGCATTAAGACAATCCTGTGCAAAGATGGGGTGGGGAGGAGAGGTCAAAGGATGACCAATGGGGAAAAGGAGCAAAAGCCAGCCCAGACCTCCCGAAGCTACTCAAGAGCAGGGAGACCCCTCCCTAAGTGGCCTTCCGAACTGTAACCAAAGCCTTTGACCAGATGGAGGAAAACTAACATTTGGGACTACGAAACAGGAGACGGGAAGCTCCGGGTGCATCAAAAGCATCAAAGCTCCTGTGTCCTGCAGCTTCCTGGTTTATTTGCTGCCTTCTGTGGGGACTTTGGTGTCTTTTCCATACTAAAAATCATCCTGGGATCAAGAAGCCACAATATAACATTTGATAACTCCCTAATCACCGATCTAGACACCCTCCCTGCCTGCATTAGGCGTGTGCTGGAACGGAGGAAGCAAGCGCAGGGGCAGCTGCACGCCAGCTGGGATGACTTGGGGCAACCGCTGGCCTTCCGTGGGAACTGGGCCCGGTTGAGAGGGCAGGGAAACGGCTCCTCCCTCCTCTGTGCGACTCCTGCTTCAGCTCCCTGGCCTTTCCCTTTCACCTCCAGTCTCTGGATCCTTCAGGTTGCTGGTGATGTAGTCCACGGCACGCCCCACCTCCTCACTGTCACAGACGTTGAGCTGGACGGTCCTCATTCGGTCACTCTTCATGTTGTCCAGGTCCTTCGAGCCGCCCCGGCCTTGTTCCTAATGAAAAGCGGCAGAAGCAGGGTGAGCCTCTGCTGCCCCACAACAGGAGACGCCAGCTTGCAACGCCCCGTCAACAGACGCAGCAGATCCCCACAAGGGGTCGCCCTGCTGATCCCAGCAATTTTCCCACCCACTTTGGGCAAAGGGCTCAGAGTCATGGTTTCCCATGACTGGGAGATGCGTGTGTCTCGCCAGAGCGAATCAGGGTTTGGAGAATTTGCCACTCTGAAGTCTCACACACCACCGCAGCCATGGGGCTTCTCCCAAGACCCGTCAGGTGAATCCAGGGCTGAGTAGTTACAAACAGCAAGCTCGGAGAACAGACCCCTGCGAAAACCTACAACCCCAGCTGCGAATATTCTCAACCATTTCCGAAGAGAATTTGCAAGGAGAATTGCACCTCCCGGCCATGGCCAGCAGGGGGCGCAAAGCCTTTTGCCAGCTGGGGCAGGCTCTCCTCCTAAAGCACTGATGGCGAAGCTTTTGGAGACCGAGTGCCCAAACTGCAACCCCAAACCCATTTATGCATCATCGAGTGCCAGGTGGATGTGGCCCATTGGGTGGGCGTGGCTGCGGGGGTAACGGCAGACTGGGTGGGACTAAAAAGTTCAATCAATTCCAACTTTGCAAGATCTTTTTTTTTCTGGGAATAGTTGAAATTGACTGATTGAACCTTTTTTTTGTTTTTTGCACACGGTGGCGGAGGCCTAAAGCGAAAAAGTTTTTATAAAACCCAGCTGAAGGCCTAGGACTGGGGTGACGGCGCGTGTGCCCACAGAGAGGGCTCTGCGTGCCGCCTCTGGCACCCGTGCCATAGGTTCGCCACCACTGTCCTAAAGGCTCCCCCAGCCTCACGTGTTGGGACATATCACAACTTTTTTGCATTGCCAGAGTTGGGGTGGGAGCGGCCTCCATATGGTGCAACCAGCCCCGAGGCCAGCAGTTTGACACCCTGATCTAGAGTGTCCCAAATCCTTGGGGGGGGGAAGGGGGAGAACCAAGATATTAAACTGTGTCTGCAGCCACTCAACTCGGCCCCTCCGTGGCCCCCTCTGGCCTTACCTTCAGCAGACACCCAGCGTAGATGATGAAGCCTTTCCCGTGGAGGAATTTGGCCAAGGAGAAGCCGAAGCCTGAGTCGCAGCCCGTGATAAGAACGGGGCGCTGGCCGATCTGAAGGGGGTGCACAAGAGCCAGTGCTGACGGCCCTGAAGAGGAATCCCAAAGGGACATGGGGGCCCCCACCACGGAGCCTCCCCCCTGCCCCTCATGAGGTTCAACAGGGCCAAAGACGTTCCCCCGCCCGCCCTCCGCCTCGGCTGGCTCCCCAGGCCCTTCTCCCCACGGCAGCCACATGGGCACCGGCCTCAGGTGCTTTGCGAACTGAGAATCGCCCTGCGCAGCCAAGGAGGTCTCCAGGCCTCAACGCAGCCCTCGAGGAGCAGCAGACAAGAGAGGGACGAGGCCTGTCTGTCTTCTGGAGGCAGCCCAGGCCCTGGGCAGGGGGCCTAACGCAGGGGCTCCGCCATGGGCACGTGCCTCCCGAGTGGGGCTGTCCTCTCCTCTGCCCGGCGGGTGAATCCTCCCCTCTCACCTCGTCCACCTCAGTGGCATAGCAGCGCTGGCTCCTCCAGCCGGGGGCCGTGGCCTGGACCTCGGGAAGCAGGCTGCGAGAGAGAGAGAGAGGATACGGCTGCCATGTGGGGAGACCTCTGGGGAACCACAGCCCGGCGCAGAAGAGACAGGCTGGGTCCGCTTGCTTCAGCCGAAACGGATCGGCTCTCTGGGCCCCTCTTGACCCGACTCTTCCAGAGAGTTTGCTAAGCCAGCATGGGCACCTCCGGGACCTCTGAGTTCAAAAGTGGCAGCCCAGCCCCCACCCCAGAGGATGCCTGGGCAAGCAGTGCAAGCCGGGCATGCCTACCACCCGGGCATGCCTCCTGGCCTCTAACCAGCGGCCAGACCCTGAGGAGGGGCCGCGGCCCATCTGCAGAACTCTCTCCTGCAGGCGACTGGAACACCTCTGGCCTGCTGACCCCATGATTCACTGGCCCCCCCAAGTGCTGCTTGGTTCTGAGAAGCATGCGAGGGCGTCTCGGCTAAAGCCCTCGGCTGATGGCCAAGCTCACCCCCAGCTGCGCAGCCACAAGAGCTGTGTTGACTTGTGGGTGGAACCCTCAACTGCTCACACACAGCCAAATTGAGAGGACAGCTGCCCAGGCCTCCGAAGGTTGGGGGGGCTCTTGAGAAGCAGCAAGAAGGTTCCGCCCCTGCCCCATCTATTCTGAGGAAGACCCTTCCTCTTTACACACGCATCCGCACAAACGCTCCAGCCCACCACCCCAGGAGAGGGAGGGTTTCACCTTTGTACCCATGGCCTTCCTGTTTGGGGAATTCAGTCACACACACCCCCCAGAATCCTAACAGCTGACCCAGGGATGGGGGGCTCAGGTAAGCACTGCCCCCTTTAGCGTTATCTGGAAGGACTTTGGAACAAGAAGATCCTTTCGGACTCTGGTCTGGAGCCCTGTTGGAGGCAAGGCAGCGCTTAAGAGGTTCATAAAGGGGCCGATTCTGCTGGCTTGGACCCTGCCCACCCCCACCGGGTGGCTTCGTCTTCCTCCTAAGCAAAGTTCTTCATGAAACCAGGGTGGGGGAGCATTCAGGGCCCTGAAGTCAACAGGTGGTCCTCATCATACAACCACAATTAGGGCCAGAATTTCAGTTGCAAAGCAAGATATTTGTTAAATGAGTCATGTCTGGTTTTACGACATTCTTGCCATGGGTGTTAAGCAGATGCTGCAGTTACTAAGTAAATCATGCGGTCATTATGCAAATCCGGGTCCCCCGTTGGGTCTGGTTGTTGGATGCCACCTGGGATGGTCGCAGAGGGCGATCGCTCGGCCCCGGGATGCCGCAACCATCCTGAATACAAGTTGGCGCCTGGACTCGGATCAGGCGATCACGAGGACCGAGCACCAGCTGTAAGTCACAAGTCACTTTTTTTCCACTGTTGTCGACACTTGACACGGTCGCTAAACGGTTGGTGGTCAGCTACGGACTTTCTTTGAAGAAGACAGAAGTGGACCTCCAGCCCAGCACCGCCCTCCGTACTTACCGCAGGCCGGTGGCAGCGACATCCTTGCAGTGCGGAGCCTTCAGGGCCAGCCGGGCAAGAGGCTGAGCGATGCGGGTGACGGCCAAGAGGATCGCCATGGGGGGTGTCTCTGCTGCTCTGGACTCTGTCAAAAGGGAGAGAAGCCGCTCTGCGCTACCTGCACCCCCTCCCACCTTTATGGCCCGGCTCGAGGGCGGGCCCAGCGAAGGCTCCCCCCACCAGAGAGTGCCCGGAAGGACCCGTCCAGCAACTCCCGGCCCTCCCAGACAGCCAGATGCCTTTGCCCCGCCTACTAACCTTGGTTTGGCTTCCTGGCTGCCTTGGTGACCCCAGCACGCCTCCCGGGGAGATGGTCTGCTCTGAATTCAGGAAACAGATCAACTCAGGGAGCAGCAGAGGCCGGAGGGAGATAAGGGGGGGAGCGACTTTGCCAGCTGCCTCTCATCACCCTCCGCATGCCAGGACTGCCGCTGGAGGGAGGGGGTGAGGGAGCCCAGCCAATCGGGCACCGGGGCCTGCTGGGGCTTGGCACAGCCAGCCTCCCTGGTCACTCGGAGGAGGGTCACCGGCTGCTCCCCCCCCCCGAGGGGCCGAGGCCCATTCCCAGGGAGGGCGAAAGGGAGGCCCTGGGGGGGCACCCGTCCCCGGGGCGCAGAGGCTCCCCGTGGGAGGGGAGGGCGGGAGGAGCAGAGCCCCTTCTGCAGGGGGAGGCAAACGCCCCCTCCTTCCCCGGGGGACGGGCACCAAGCGGCCGGGCCCGCCGGGAGGGGAGACCGGCCCGGGGTTTTGCCTGCCAGCTGCCTGAGCAAAGGACCCCCATCCCCGCCCGGCTTCCTCGGGCCCGGACCCTTTCGGAAGCCTTCGGGGGGACGCCAGGGCGGCCGGGCCAGGGCGGCGGGGGCAGCAGAGGCCCCGACCCCGCGGAAGGCACACCGGCCCCTCCGTGCCCCGAGAGCGCGCGCGGCTGGCAGCGGGGCCGGCGCCACGGAGCCCCGCCAGAGCCTCTCCCGGCCCGAGCCGCGCGGAGACACCCATCCAGCCCCAGGCCCCCGCGAGGCCGCAAGCGGCGGAGGGAGCGGCGGGAATCGGCCCCGCGGCCCACCTGCCCTCCCGGAGCCCCCCCTCCCCGCGACCGGCCGGCATCTCCCCCGCCCGCCCCTCGCCTCCCCTCCCGGCGGCGACCGGCGCTGCTCGAGGCCCGCCTGCTTACCGCGCGCTCCGCCCGTCCGGCTGACCGCCGCGCGTCCCCTCCGCCCGTCCGCCCGAGGAAGTGACGTCACTGCCGCTCCGGCGACGCCCCCGCTCCGCCCCTCGCGCGCCATGTGGCCGCTGCCGCCGCCGCTCCCGGCCTGGCCCTGCGGCGCCCTCGCCTGCCTCTCCGCCGCGCTGCTGCTCCCGCTGCTCCTCCTTCTGGGCCGCCGCCGCCGCCTGCCGGTGAGTGGCCCGTGGGGAGGGGGAGGCGCGGGGGGCGCTGTCACCCTCGGAGGCAGAGACGCCCCGGGGTGGCGGAGGGCGGGCGAGCCGGAGCCCCAGCGCCGGAACTCCGCCGGGAGAAGCAACGAAGAGGCTCCTCGACCTGGCCCGCCTCGCCGGGGTTTCTGGCGGCGGCGGCGGCGGGGCGAAGGGGTTCCCGGGGCGGGATGGCGATGAAACTCGCCCGCCGGGCCTGAATCCTCCCGGGAATCCCTGGCTTCCTTGAGGGAGACCCTTCCTCGGGGGGGCGTCCGGCCTCGCCCGGGGTCCGCTCCTGGGAACTGCTGCTGGAGAGGAGCAGGCAAACCATCATGCACAGCCGGGAGACTTTTTTTATTATTATTAAACTACCATGCCCCCCATTGGGCAGAGGCAGCTTACAGTGCCACGTCAATAAACCTTCAAAACCCCCCCCTATGGTATTGCCTCGTTGCATGCTGGGGGGGGGGCGTCGGGCTGGGGGCTGCTGCCGGTCAAGATGAGACAGCTTGGCAAAGGGAGAGAGGATGCCTCCCCAATGAGGGCCCCTCCCCAGTGAACCAGAGGAGCAGAAGTTGCCTATGGAGACTCTCAGTCACCCTAAACTCATCCTTGTCCCAAAGATGCTTTTTCAAGAGGTAACTAACTGGACTTTCTCATTTCTCTTTGAAGACGTTTTGTTTCTCCTCCAGGAAGCAGAGCTGAAGAAGCTTCTTTGATGAGAAGCAAAACGTCTTCAAATTAAAACAAGAAAGTCTAGCTGCCTCGTGAAAAAGCACCTTTGGGACAGTGAAAGTTGCCTCCAGAAGTCGTGGGTGCTCAGTCACTGGAGGTTTTTAAGAAGACACTGGACAGCCACTTGTCTGAAAGGGTATATAGGGTCTCCTGCCTGAGGAGAGGGTTGGATTAGAAGACCTCCAAGGTCCCTTCCAATCCTGTTAGTCTGTTATTCTGAACTGGGACGGGCTTCAGATGGGTTTCTGCCACCTGAGCAAATTGCAGGAATTAACACGATTAGCAGTGACCAAAATCATCCAATGTACTAAGTAATAAATATAACCAACATACAACAATGCAGCTGTAAAAATCTGGGGGGGGGTCTTGCTCCTCCCTGCTCAGGAGGCTCTCCCATTCTCACCCAAGTCCCCAACCGCACCTAAAGGGAGGAGGCATTTTACAGGAGGGGCTCCTGCTGTGAAGGCCCCAGGCTGTGTCAGGGAAGGAGGAGGAGGCATGGTCTGCAGTGCCCCCCCCCCCCAGGGCAAGGCAGCTGGGTCTCCAGAGCCACGCAGAGCTTGAGAGAGGAGACTGGGGGCACTCTGGGTCTCGGCCAGCTTCTCTCCATCCAGACTCCGACGGTCTCCAGGACTGGGGCCAAAGTCCTTGCAGAGCCCCGTCTTCACAAGGTCACGTCCTTACTGCACAACAAGCGCCTGTCCCGGGCAGGGCCTGGGTCAGCTGAGGCAGCTTTGCATCCCAGGGTGGGGCCAGATGAACCAGTGCCAGGTAGACACCCAGCTGTGCCCCTTCCTCTGCCAAGCTGCTCTGTTTGTTTACCACTGGCAGGAGAGGACAAGGAGTGATGGCTCTCCTCCCCAAGATATCTTCTGTGGCTCCTGAGAAGGGGAGACACACACACACACACACACACACACACACACACACATCCCGCCTGGCTGTACCTGGAGGACAATGGGGGGGGGAGTCCCCTGGAGGACTTTCCCTGTTGACTCACTCTTTCCCTTGCCTGCATTCCTTGCTCTTGGCAGGCCATCGGCCTCCCCTGCTTGACCTTGAGAGGCCACGTGCCAGCTCAGCTCTCTCAGAGAACCTGCTTTTCAGCCTGAGCACCAGTTAAGGCCAGATCTCCCCCCACCCCTGGTCTGGCGAAAGAGCAAGCTGGCCAAGGCGGGAGCGTGAGTGCAGAGGCTTTGCTGAAGGGACAGGTCCGTGCAGTGCCCTCAGGTCAACTGCATGCCCAGCCCCTGCCTCTTTTCAAGGAAGGGGGTTGAGGGGGGGGCGGCGCTGCAACTCCAGACAATGCTGTAGGAAACGGATCATCTGGACCCCTTTCAGTTGGGTTTCGGGCCCAAATATGGGACGGAGATGGCGCTTTTCGCGTTCACGGATGACCTCTGGTGTGAGCAGGTTGGAGGTTGTGCGTCCGTCCTTGCTCCTCTTCCTGATCTCTCAGCAGCTGCTGATAGCATCGGCCACAGTATTCCTTTCTCGTTGACTTGAGCTGGGGGTGGGTGCCACATTTTCATGCGGGTTCACCTCATTTCTCCAAGGTCAGTACCAATTGGTCTTGATAGGGAGAGAGGGATCCAGCCCATGGCCCCTTCCTTCTCTTTGGGGTGCCACAGGGATCAGTGCTTTCTCACCACCTTTCTCACCACCTGCATGAAACCACCAGGTGAGATCATCCGTCACCACAGGATGAGTTACCACCAGCACGCTGATCTTACCCAGTTATCCATCTCCATCCCAGGTGGGGTGAGTGATGCAGCGGATGTTCGTTCATGATGCCCGAGGACTGCATGGGCTCGGCTGGAGAACAAGAGACTTCAGCTGAACCTTCGTAAGCCAGAGTGGCTATGGGTGTACCCCTCTGGATCCAGGAGCTTATCATTTTTGGTCTCGGATGGGGGGTGGCACTACCCCCCAGACAGACCCGGTGTGTCACCTGGATGTTGTTCTGGACTCAGCTCCTGCTCAAAGAGCAGATGGCAGACGTGGCTGAATGGAAGCTCAAGCCTTTGCTGTATAGCACCTTGCACCACTGTCCCTTCTGGCACCTATCCGGCTGGTTCATTTCTGACACATTTGGTAAAACCAGGAACGGTGATTTTTGCCTAGTTTATTCATATACGGGCTGCCCAAGTTCTAATCTATCCCAACTCTAGCAACATACAATAAGAAAAAATTAAGAAATACAGTAACATAGAGAGAATACGAAAGACGCACTGGGAAGAACAGCCCCACAAGTCTCCCCCTTTGCGGGAAGAGTTACTGGAATGGGGTGCAGATCTTGGAGGGCAGCACTGCCAGAGAGAAGGCCGCTCACTGGGGGACAGGCAGGCAACTGTGGCAGCAGCAGCAGCTCACCCTGGTTCCCCTGGGTCTTCTCTGGCCATTGGACCGTCTGCTCCTCTGAAGCAACCCAAGAGAGCCGTCTGAAGCAGCTTTTGTGGCTGAGCAGATTTGTGTGCCAAGGGTCAAATCCCCTCCCAGCCGTGTTCCCTGGAAGCCAAGAGACCTTAGCCTGGGTGTTAAGAAATTCTTGGAGTCGTGGCAGTGATGAATGAGATTCCTCCTAAGATCAGAGCAGAGGAGGTGATAAGTCCGAGTCCTGTTGTGTCCTTGGCCAAAGCTCTGGCAGGCTGGACTGGGTGCTGGCCATCTGGTGTGTGTTTATGTTGATCCCCCATAGGGGGGGGTGTCCACGCTTCTCTCACAAGGCCCAGCTGAGCCTCCTGCCTCTGAGGGGGCCCTGCTCCTGTTCACCCCACCCTTCTGTCGTCCTCCCTGAGCCTCTTTCATTGGGGGGGGGGAACAGAAGCTGCTGCCTACTTCACTTCTTGGCTCCCGCCTGGTTTTCTTCCTCTGACGTGCTTCTCGGCTGGGCAGTCTTGGGCCTGATCTGTACCACTCTGGTGTTCCTTCTCTTCCCCTTCTGCAGGCCGAGAGGAAGGCGGTGCTGATCACAGGCTGTGACAAGGGCTTCGGCCACGCCTTGGCCAGGCACCTCCACGGGAAAGGGTTCACCGTCTTTGCCGGCTGTTTGCTCCTGGTGAGGAACCCTGGGGGAGGCTTTCAGGTTTCCTCCGAGAGTCTGGGCGGAAGCTGAGAGTCATGCTTCCTCCTCAGCTTTGGCCCTCTGCAGGAGGCGGGGAGGAGGAAGGCAGCGGTACAAGTCCCATCAGCCCCAACAGGGCTGTGCTTGCCCTCAGCAGCCCTCCCTTTAATGGTTTTTCTCCCTGTCTGTTGGACAGGACCAAGGAGGAGATGGCGCCCAGCAGCTGTGCCGCCTGGGCCCTGAGCGGATGCACGTCCTCCAGCTGGACGTGTGCTGCGAAGAGCAGGTGGCCCTAGCCTTCCGATACGTGGAGGCACGGCTGGAGGACCCTGCTCAAGGTAATCGCCCCAGGCCCTTCCTTCCACCTCCCCAGGGGCTGGCTGCACCTGGCAGACGAGGTCATCTCACCGGGCTCCCCAGTGGGCAGGGGCTGGACTGGGCTCCATGTGTGGATCCCTTGGTTTTCCCCAGCTTTGTTTGGTTGCACCGAACTCTTTGGCCACCTGTGGTGCCAAAGGCGAGTCTCTCGTCTTTCTGTGGCTGATGCTATCAGCAGCTGCTGAGAGATCAAGTTCAGGCGGCTGGTGAGATGGGCTTCCTTGGGGGAGGAGGAGGAGGAAGCTGCCCTGCCCTCGCAAATCCTCACGGAGGGTCTCCTCTCTTGTGGGGCAGGTCTGTGGGGCTTGGTGAACAATGCTGGAATCGCCTCCTTTGGAGACGTGGAATTCACCAGTGTGGAGAAGTACCAGAGGGTGGCTGACATCAACTTATGGGGGACCATCCGTGTGACAAAAGCTTTTCTGCCCCTAATTCGCAGGGCCAGAGGTAGGAAAGAGGGTCTACAGGGGTTGGGGGCCACCAGGACACACTTCTGAAGGCCCTTTGGCCTCTGGGCACAGCATCTTGCACAGGAGTGGACATAGAGTGGACGGGCAGCAGAGTTCCGCCTGCCCCTGCCCGGTGTCCAGCAGAGCCTGTCCAACAAGGATTAGCCGATGTGCTGGGCGGCTCTGTTCTCATGTGCACTCAGACTTCCAATGCCGGGGGAGCCAGTGGCAAAGTTAAACATACAGAGCACGTGTGCAAGAGTTCGCATCCTCCGTGTAACATTGGCATTCCACAAAGGCATTCCAGCAATGCCTTGTGCAAGAATGGGGGTGGGGGGTTAGGGGGTGGGCAGAGGAAAGATCCCCAGACACGGAGGAAGAAGGAAGAGGGAGGGGAAAGCAGAGGCCTGCCAGGGACGTGCAGGTTCTGCCAGGCCCCCCAGGGCAGAAAGCCAACCCCCTTCAGGTCTCCCATTTTGGGATAATGAGATCCAAAAAGTGACTGAGACTTTGCCCAAGCAGCTACCTCTGTGGCATGGCTACCTCCCAGTGGGAAGGGGGCCCTCCAGAGAACAACTGGTGGAGCCTCTGGGGAGTTCTTCCCAAGGCCAGACGCTGACCTGGGTGACCTGACTGGTTCTCGGCTCCCCTCCCTCCGTGCTGCTCTCTCCCACCGATGTCACCCCCTCCCCAGAGCAGTTCTGGTCTCTACTCCCCTCCAGGGCGGATCGTCAACATGAGCAGCATGCTGGGCCGGATGGCCAGGCCCATGCGCTCCTCCTACTGCATCTCCAAGTTCGGGGTGGAGGCCTTCAGCGACTGCCTACGGCAGGAGATGTATCGCTGGGGCGTCTCGGTGGTGGCCGTCGAGCCGAGCAACTTCATCGCGGCCACAGGGATCCTGACCCCCGAGGGCATCGTGGGCGAGGGCGAGCGCATGTGGCGTGGGGCCAGCGAGGCCGTCCGGGCAGATTACGGAGAGGCCGACTTCCAGGAGAAGCTCTCTCGGATGAAGGGCTTTGCGCACAGCGGCCTGCGGGATGTCTCCCCGGTCCTGGATGCCCTGACCGAAGCCCTCGCCGCGCGTCACCCCTACAGCCGCTACACCCCCATGGAGGCCTCCTGGTGGCTGCGTCTGCAGGCTGCAACCCACCTGCCCACCGCCCTGGCCGACTGGCTCTTTGTCAGCTAGGCCGCCCCAGGTCAAGCAGAGAAGCCGTCCCTCGCTGCTTCCTCCGGGGGGGGGGGGGTGGAGTCACGTCCAGGTGAATTAAAAGCAATCATAGTAGCCAAGTTAGCCAGATGAGGGGAAAAAATCCCAAATCCTTATAGACAATCTCTCTTAATCAGCATAACTGAAAGGGTCACAAACCTGGTACACCAGTTGCGGCCTTATCTGGACTGAGAGGCTTTACTCACAGTCACTCATGCCCTTGTCACCTCAAGACTGGATTACTGTAATGCGCTCTACATGGGGCTACCCTTGAAGAGCGTTCGGAGGCTGCAGTTGGTTCAGAATGCAGCCGCGAGAGCGATTGTGGGCGCGCCAAGGTACGCCCATGTGTCACCTATCCTCCGCGAGCTGCACTGGCTTCCTGTGGGTCTCCGGATGCAATTCAAGGTGTTGGTTATCACCTTTAAAGCCCTTCATGGCATAGGGCCAGGTTACTTACAGGACCGCATACTGCCGCACAGTTCCCAGAGACCGGTGAGGTCCCACAGATTGGGCCTCCTTCAGGTCCCGTCGGCCAGACAATGCCGGCTGGCGGGCCCTCGCGGAAGGGCCTTTTCTGTGGTGGCTCCGACCTGGTGGAATCAACTTCCCCCCGAGGTTCAAACAACTCCCACCCTGCCGGCCTTTAAGAAAGCCGTTAAAACTCTCCTGTTCCGGCAGGCCTGGGGCTGATGTCCCTGGGGGTGGGTGGGATATGATCGGACTTGCGGTATGATTGTATTATTTTATTGTTTTATTCTTAGATGATTGTTTTAATTTTGTACGCCGCCCTTTGGGATTGGGCGGCATATAAATAAAATTAAATAAATAAATAAATAAAATAGGTGCAAGTTCTGAGCTTCCCAGAACTCCCCTCTAGTGCAAGATGCATTTTAACAGAATAACAGTTAGCAGCTCACTTTGGTTTTGTTCCAGAACTTTCTACCTTAAAGGAGCCAATCAACATTCCTGGCTCTCCGTTATGTCTGCCCCTTCTCAGTGTTCCCATCACCCACCAGCCTGCTCTGTCCTGGCCTTTACCCCGATTTGGGGGAGGGATGGCAGGAGAAGCATGGGAAAGGCTGGGTTAATTTGCAGGCAGGCCAGGAAAAGGCAGTCGGTGGATGATGGATGCTGTGCAGGTAGAGACCGTTAAAAGTCGTTGGTTCTGTTTGAAATTGTTCTGCCGGCAGCAAGATCTGACTGCTGGCCCAGCGATGGATTCTATTGCAAATAAGGCTGTTTCCAAAGGAGGCAGAGGAGGAGAGGTCCCGGGGCTTATGGAGCCAAGGAACTGGATGAGGCTGTCGGCAGGCCCAGAGGATGGGAGAGAGGCCTCTTTAAGGAAAAGGTGGAAGAGACAAGATCAGAAAAAGGAAAGGAGGTGAGGTTGTCGTGCAGGAATGCAAGCTAATTTGAGGGCTAATCCATATGGAACTCCATTTCCATCTGTCCTGTTTGCCATCTAGAGACTAAAATGGAAGATCTGAAACTTGAGCAGGCCAGGAACAAGGAGTGTATGTTGGAGGTGGTGACCCTTTGAGAGCTGTATGCAATGAAATTTCATTTTGATGTATGCCGATTGGTGTACTTTCAAAATGACAATAAAGTTGTTGTTACTGAGATGGACTAGATTTTTTTTTCAAGGGGATTGTAAATTGAAATCAAGAGATTTGATAACAGACATTCTTGGTTTTCTTTGTACAATTAGCAGCAAGGTTTAGAGTGGATAAAGTGCCACCTCGGGGGCTGTGGTGGGAACACCCTAAAATGGCTGATCCTGAACACCATTTTTGTGAAAAAGGCAAATTCTAGGTTGAGGATTATTTGGAGGGAACACGATGATGATGATATAATAAAATAATAGTAGTAGTAGTAGTAGTAGTAGTAGTAGTAGTGATAGTAATAATAATAATATTGAGTCGGAAGGGACCTTAAACTGCCAAAGCCAGAATTCAACCTGCAGGTCCCCTACCCGTCTGCTGTCCTGCCCAGTGGGAGAGACTGAGCCGAGGATGTCCGGCGTGGGGAGCTCGTTGGCCCCACGGAGAAAAGGGGTGGCTGCAGGGTGGAAGGGTTTTGCCTCTAAAGAAGGCAAGAACCTCTGGGCGACCTGGAGAGGTGTAGGGGCTACAGGAGCCTCGTCCTTGTTCGCAATGCCTTTTCCCCGCCTGGCCTCCCCCTGGGAGCCCCTCTCTCCTTTGGGGCCCTCAGTAGTGACTTCTTCTTTTTAAAAAGCCTCCTCCAGCCAGGGACAGTCCAGGCCCGGTTCTGGATGACACCACAGAACTTCAGCCTGCGGAGCCCAGTGACATCACACTGCGGAAGGCAACCTGTTCCACAGGGCACCTCGGAGCCAACAGGTGCTGCTTTTCCTCCTAGGTTCAGGCTGAGTTGCTGCGGAGAAGAGGCTGATGACCTCAGAGAAGGGGCCTGGGGCTGTTAGGGAAACACACCCAGAAGAAGAAGAAGGAAAAGAAGAAGGGAACCGTGGGCAGACCCTACCAATAAGGTGTCTTTCCATTATCCTGCGGCATCCCATTCCTTGAACGGCTGACAGCTGCCAGCCTCACAGAGGCTGCTGCTGCTGCAGGAGAGAGCACGGGGCATGGGGTCAGGTCATCTCGGCTGCCCCCTTCAGGGCTGCAGAAGATAATCCAGGAAGGGGAGGCCGGAGTCAGCTTTGCAGGGAGACCCGCTGGCCTGGGACCTCTTCCTTCCTCCCTGCAGCGACTGGCCTGGGCTTCTCCAAGCAGGGCAGAGAGGATGATCCGGCTGATGGAGAGCAGGGCGACCCTGGTCAGGTGGAGGCAGCTGTGCAGCAAGTCATTGGCCAAGTCCAGGCTCAGGTACTACGGCTCAGCCGCAACGGACCAGCCCAATATCTGGTCACCAGATGCATTTAGCACACCTGTTCATCAGAAAGAGGCTACGGGATTCTGACCCATAGACTGACAGGCTCTCCTCCCGCAGACCCCCCCCCCCTGTGAGCTTTGCTTGGTACGGGTAGCAGAGCAGAAGGGGGGAGGGGGACATGAGCCAGATCGTGGGAAGAGAATTGCTGGTGGAAGCCCCTTCCATCTACCCCGGGAGGGAAGACAGAGTCAGACTTACAGAAGCAGCCACAGCTCAATAATTTCTGCCCTGAAATTTGTTCCAAGGCTACACACACTGTAAAACACACAGGAGCCCAGGTTCCTTATTCTTATTTGGGGCTCCATGTGAATAAAACCAAAGAAGATGGGAGCCTAAATGAATCTCCACAAAGATGCAAGTGAAAAAGCCTTTGGGGAGCAATGGAGGAAGAAAGGGGTGTCTGGCGTCCTGGCCAAAGATGGGGCGAAGAGCCCCAGGAGGGCTGGGGAAGTTTGAATCTCTGGGGGAACCACACTCCAGGCGCAGCTACAGCTCGAAAGCCTAAGCTCTCGGCAGTTGAAGGGGTTGGCAGAGGCCCATTCCTGCCTTCCAATCGGATGGCCTCTCCTTTCGCAGGCTGCTGTCTCCTTCCTATTTTGTGACCGACCAGAAAGTAAGATATTCTAGACACATCAAGAAGGTAAGGAAGACTGGCCAACAAGATGGCTGTATCTCCTCTAGAAGCGGCTTTAACCATCTAGACTGGGATGGGAAACCTCTGGGGCTCCTGGTGCAGGGGCACCATGGAGACCCCACCTGAAGAGAGACTGGGGCGGCTGGCAAATGCTGCAGGGTGGCATCTCCCAGAGGGGGAGGGGGCTTGCTCTGTGCTCCCCACCAACTTGGGGTTCCGACGTGTGTGTGTGTGTGTGTGTGTGTGTGTGTGTGTGTGTGTGTGTGTGTGTGTGTATGGCAGAGAAGGCAGGGCCAGGCTAAATAGGAGTATTTTCCGCCAGGAATCAACATCGTTTGTGGAAAACCTATTCAACGGACACTTGGAGCCAAAAAACCTCCTTCCTTTCCCCTCAGGTAAGGGGATCCGGGCAGAGAGAAGGGATTTGAGGGTGCTGCGAGGCAGGATGGCTGACCAGCCCCCCGGGTGTTCGGGGCTGGCAGTGAGCCTCCTGTCCTGGCAGCCTCTCCGTTGCCCTCAGCTCTCTCACTGGAGCAGGCCCAGGTCTTGCAAGCCATGGTGGATCCCTGCGCCCGGTTCTTTGAGGTAAGGCCAGCTGAGGTTTTCCTCCTCCCCGGCCCCCCTTCCAAGAGAAAGTCCTGCCTGGAGGGTTGTGCTGGCTCCATTTCTGTCTGAAACACCTGCAGGAAATCAACAATGCGGCTGCGAATGAAGCACTGGGCAGCATCGAAGAGGACACCGTGGCAGGCCTCAAGTCGATGGGCTGCTTTGGGCTGCAGGTGCCCGAGGATCTGGGGGGCGTCGGGCTGACCAACACCCAGGTGAGGCCCTTGGAAGGCTCCTGGAGGGAAGCAGGAGGTCCTCCTGGTCTGTCCTTTCCCAGCCACTGCTGAGAGTTGGGAGCACCCCCACCCCTCCGCAATGCAGAAGAGGCAAGCTCCCTCCTCTCCCGTTGCTCCCTGGGCCGGCATGGGCGGTGGGGGGGCGGCAGAGGGACCAAGAGGGAAGATTCTTTGCAGCTCAGGGCTGTCCTGGGGGGGTCCCGGGCGCTCTCTGGGCCTGGCTGTTTCCTTGCAGACGTTTCACAACCCAACCAGGGAACTAGCACTAGAAGGGGGGCGGGCTTGGCCCTCTGTGTATCAACAGAACAGGTGGCCCATGGCTTACGAACACAATTCAGCCCAAAATTTCTGTAGGCAAGCAAGATAGTTGTTATGTGAATTTTGCCCCATTTTACAACCTTTCTTGCCACAAAGCTATTCTCCAAAGCACAGGAGAAGGCAGGACAAGAAGCAACAGAGGGAAACTAATCAAGGAGAGAAGCAACCTGGAACTAAGGAGAAACTTCCTCACAGTGAGAACAAATAACCAGTGGAACTCCTTGCCTCCAGAAGTTGTGGCTGCGATATCACTGGAGGTTTTTAAGAAGAGACTGGACAGCCATTTGTCCGAAATGGTATAGGGTTTCCTGCCTGAGCAGGGGGTTGGACTAGATGACCTCTAAGGTTCCTTCCAACTTGTTGTTGTTATTATTGTATGTTAAGTAAATCATTGCAGCTGTTAAGCTAATCACACAGTTGTTAAATGAACCTGATTTCCCATTGATTTTCCTGGTCAGAAGGCCGCAAAAGGGGGTCACGACCCCCTGGGACGCTGTGACCATCATAAATACAGGCCAAGAGCCCGAATTCTAATCTTGCGGCCACGGGGACGCTGCAACAGCCATAAGAGTGAAAAACGG